CTTTCCCTGGCAGGCTGGAGGGCAGCAGAAAGCAGGATACAGCTGGGGCTGCTGAGGATTGGCCACCTTAAATTGCGTTGCTTCACCACGCGTGTATTTTAAGCTATGCCAAGGATGTAAGGGTAAACATCTTGGGTTTTTTAGCATTTGAGTACATCTAAATATACCAGTGAGCAGTATTTAGAGGCAGGCCATTGAGAGCCAGAGAACTGGAAGGCAGGGCTGACACAGGACTCCCAGTTCCCAGCTCCTGCTTTTTGACCGTGACACAGCAACAGAAATGAGCGTCTGTTATTTTACAACTGAAGGGGCAGAAGCCAGGAGCATTTCACCCTAGCTCTGACCTGCGGTTTGGCCCGAGACCAAAAGGGGAATCCTGGAGGAACAGAAGGATTCACTGTATGTGATAAATCACCCAATTATTCAACTCTTATTATCCAATATATGTGAAGACCTGCAAGACGTGGGAGCCCACAACAGCACAGCTCTGAGAAAGCATCTTCCCTCATGAGACAGCCTGGTCCTCTTTTTTTTTTTTTTTGCCACACTTAAAAAGCTCCATTCCACATATCCAGGCACTACCCTGGGCACCTGGCCCATGATTAAACATTGCAAAACCAACGTGACAAAGGCTCCACAGCTCCCTCTGCTTCCCAATGCAACAGCAGCTCCTCTCCTTCCCCAGCCAGCCAGAGGGGGAAGGTGGCCCTGGGGTTCCCAGCTGCTGCCAATGCCAGTGGGGCACTGAAAGCCACAGGATGCTCCATGTATGGGTGTGAAAGTGGAGTGATCCCTCCTGCCAGCTCATCTGGGATCCCCCACAAGCAGAGAACACGCCCAGCCATGCCCGAGCGCAGCGCCCAGCCCCTGGCAGATGGCCCTGGGTGCACCAGAGATCCTGTCACAGCACAGGTATTTAGGATACAAGTTTCCTCTGAAGGCAAAAGACCTTTTCTGAGAATAAAAATGAGGGTTCTGCAGATGCAGCTCATCTGTTCCTGAGCTGTTTCTCCCACATGTGCTCAGAAGCTCCAGCCAAGTAAAGACACACGATGCATCGCTGCCCTGCCTCGGGTCAGGATGGTGGCTGCATGAACTCATAAAAATCACAGATTCATTTGTAAGGAGAGATCAACAGTTTATTAACTTAAAGGTCAGTTCACCAAAGCTCCATCTTTCCTTGGGGCTGGTCCAGGCAGGTGAGGACTGGTGATGGGGTGGCTCTCCCCTCTTCACCTGGCTGAGGTAAAGCTCTAGCAGGCAAGCCCAGGCAGGGTGTGTGTCGTTGCAACCGAAACCAAGCAGGGATTATCCCAGCTCCAGGAGGAACTGGTGACAATTCATACTGTGAAATTCATTGGCAAAAGGTTGAACTCGTTAAAACTATTAACAGTAAAAAAATCAGAACATGCAGTGTAGGAAAGTGTTTACATACGTCTGGTGCAAAGAGCAGCTCTGCAAGGTCAGAGAGGAGAAAAGGACACAAGACAAAAAAAGATTCCCCACTCCCATATAAAAAATAGTCCACAGAGGAAAAACAAAAAACAGGGATTGTATAAGTTATTTTTAAAAAATCTGTAAAACAACATAGTCAAGGATATTTTAAACACAATTATATAAACACCACATGACTTACTATTAAGAGAAAGTGTGAAAAGGTTTTTTCCAGGTAAGGGTTTTATAAAATTAAGAGTTTCCTGGCCAGATCTCTGGAATGTCTCTTCTGGAAACAGATGCCCAAGTAAAATCCCTGCCCCGCACAGGAGGATTTTGTGAGACAGGGGGGTGTACCCAGTGAAACAGGAAGGATCACAATGCAAAATGCTAGAAGAGATTAATCAGGACACCACCTCGTTTAAAGGAAGGATCTAGCGTATTCCAGAACAGAATTAATCAGCAACTTCCTAGCAGTTCCAGGAGGGAAATACAATTTGTGGCAAGACCGTGTCCCCGCAGGCTGGTCCGTGCGGACAAACCCCCCCAGTCCCCAGGGCTCCCTGCAGGCACCCAGGTTTTGCCAGCCTGCAATCTCCTGCAGGGCAGAGCCCCGCTGGGCTGACAGGCCTGCACAGCCCCGTGGATCAGCTCTTGCTTTGGTCCTCAAATCTCCAGTTACTGCCACGGCCAGAGGGAAACAGCTACCACCAGAATCCCAGCAGGGCACTGCTCTGGGAACCACCCGGCTCCTCGTTTTCCCTGCGCACAGAGCGCGGCGCCGGCCGTGGAGGGTCTGTCAGGAAAGGGAACCAACACCTGAGCCAGGAATGGCTCTTTCCTCTCTAATGTGTCAAGTCCTGCATCCTGTGCAGCCAGGGCTCCCACCAGCCTCTCGGAGTGGGCACATCAGGAGGATTTCTGTGAAGAATCAAGCTTGGGTACATGGATCATGCATCAGTCCCTGTTCACGAGGAGTGTTTGAGAGTATTAATATCACCGCTTGTCTGCTGCCTTTCAGGGCTTGGTCATTCAGGGTACGATCCAACCTCTGCTTAACATATTGCTATAGAAACGTGCTGACAGTGATATTAAAGCTATCAAACTTACGAGCGAATGCTTGACAGCACCACGTCAACTCTCCCAAAGCTGAAAAAATAAAACTTTTGTCCTAAACATTTGGCAAAACTGGGCTGGCAGTTGGTGGAAGTCCGGGATGGATGCAGCCGCTGAACTTTACCCGGCCATAAGACACGTCTGACAGCAGAACTGCACAAACAGCTTCTTTTCACAGAGCTTGTTTGATTTCACCATCTCACAGAAAGTCTTGTCAGCTGGGAGGCCGAGGCGAGGAACAAGAGAAAATGAGAGCAGATTAACATTTTAAATAAACAAACATCGCACGTAACAGGCGGTGCAATTCGTTCCAGTGTTGGAAGAGAGAGAATTGAAAAGGAGTCGCTTTTTAAAGGCATCTTTCACATGGTTTTCATGAAGGAATAAAGCAGCTTTGCAGCAAGCAGGAGAATTAGCCCCAAGACTAAACTATAACGAAATACAAACGCTTCAATGTGTTTGAGAATAGGCAGCCACCCAGCAGCTCTGCCAGGTAAAGCTGCCTGCCCACTGCAGCCAGAGCCTGGCTCACTGCAGCCAGGCCCCAGCAAGCCCAAGAGCTGTGGCACTTTTAGCTACACCTTGTGAAGGGAATCCCCCAAACCCCTCATTTTTGCCTCCGGGGAAGCCCCGTGGTGCCAGTGGTTCTGCCACAGTTACTTACCATTGGTGCAGGTTTCATTTGTTACACAGGAGCCACCGAGGAGACTGAAACCTTCTTTGCACTTGAGGCAGTTTCCGCTGGAGCCCTCACAGGCCGAGCAGTGGTCGTCACACCTGGAGACAGAGACCCCACCATGGTCTGAACCAGCACTGACACCAGCCAGAAAGTGTGTCTGCCAGCACTGTGACATCCAGACTGAACCAGAGGATGTGGAAAACAGCAAAGCTGAAGCTTGGGAAGTTACCAAAACCCTGAGAAAAATGGGCCAGCTCAATGCCCGGTGACATCCCGGGACATCCCAGAAGTGCTCCTCTCACCTGCTGGGAAGGCTCAGTGGGACATGCACCTCTCCTCCCAGAAATCCCAGTCAGAATAAGGGCTCTGCAGAGAGTATGTGCCTTTCCCACCCATTTGCTTAGGGAAAATAGCCCAGCAGCTGTGCCTCCTGCCTGGGGACAGTGGCTTCCCAAAATCCCCAGGAAGGGTGCTGGTCCCTGTTCCTCCCCACTGGATAGCCAGCACAGGTGAGCAAAACCCTGGGCAGGTAGGGACTTCGTGTTCCCAAGTCACCTTTAATCCTTCCCTTTCATGTTCACTTTAATGAAGCTAAATCCACTCCCACTCCTCACTTAAAGCACAGACTGCTGGAGAGTGGGAGCAAATTGCTGCCTCCCGGCACCTCCTGTCTCCCATACTCAGCCCCCATGCTGAGCGAGCACACAGCCCTGGGGTGAATGGAGCAGGTTTGAGTGAAAGCTGGAATATTTACCTAAACATCCCCATTCCTCCCACACCTCCCCCAAAGAGCCTGGAGCCAGGGCTGAGCCCCTTCCACAGTAGCCTGAAGATACCTTGGCTGGCTGGCTCTGGCTGGGGAGCTTTGCTGCTCTTAAATCTACCAGGCAGGGTCCAGCCCCGTGGCTGCTCTGGCTCACTCACCCCTATTTTAATTTCCCTAGTAAACAGCTCCAGCTGCAAGCTGTTTTCAGCATGATGTGTTTGGTCTTTTTTTATTATCACTGCCAGCTCTCCCTGTCAGCCCCAGCTTTGCTCTGATTGCCACCGGGGTGGTTCCATACCTCTTGCAGACTTTGTTGGGCAGCCCGTGGCTGTCGGCGGGGTAGAAGCCAGGGCGGCAGGCAGGGACACAGTGCCAGTGGGACATGGGGCCCTCGGGGGTGCAGGGTGCACAGTCTTCCTCACCTGGCCCTGTGGAGACAGGGGAGAAAGGAGAGGGAAGATGACATGGGTGGTTTCAGAGACAGGAGCCACGTTGCACCAGCACATGGGATGGGAAGCACCAGCTTCACCCTGCTCTGTCCATGCCTGGCAGGGAGCAAGCTGCTTGTTGTGCCACTGGCTGCTTGGCTCCCACGCCAGAAAACTGAAGTTTCCCATCCCAAAAATCCCAGCTCTTATCCCCAGAACCCCAGCTCCCATCCCCAAAAAAACCCACCCAGGACCCAGCATCCTGCCCCTCTGCAGAGCCAAGAGCCAGCTACAGGGATTCAGTGGGAGACAGCACATCAAAATCCCCTCTGGGGCATCAGCCACCACTCCCAAATGTGCACCCATTTGGCTTTCCCGACCAATGTAGAGTAATACGTGGAAAAAGAGATGCTAAAATGGGCTGTGGAGAAGCTGGTGGAGGGAAGGTCTTGGGAGAGCTGGAAAAGCAGAGATCCCTGCTCTGAGGCTGGTGTGCTGTGGCTGGACAGCAAACCATGTTGATGGAGGTGATATTATTAGAGGCTTTCCACACTCTGGGCTTGAGAAATGGTTTTGCAGGGAAAGGAGACGAGAAAAGGCTTGAAAAATAATTGTGGTGAAGTACATTTACACTGACTAGAATAAGAATTAGAAGGGGAGTAATTTTCTTAAGGGATTAAGAGCCTGTTCCCTTCCACGCTTGCCAACAAGATCAATAAATATTTTGGATTTAGTCTTAGGAAATTGCCCATGTATTATAGATGAGATTCAGGCCACCAAACATGAATTGTCTGGACATCATCTTATCATCAGATCTATGATGATTTTGAGGGCAGATGCAAACATTAACAATGGAAAACAATAGGACTTCAAAGAAGTGAAAAAGGCAGGAGGTAAAGGGAATGCTGAGGGACTTTGGGCAGTGGGGGAAAGCCAGCAGCAGCCAGCTCAGCTGGGATAACACACCTCACCTCAGCTGCCTGACATTTTTACACACTGCAAAGCCATCTTCCATCACCTTGAGAGGGTTTTATGGCTTCCCCTGCAACCTTATGAAACTAAAGCACCTGGCTTCAGAGGAATTGGGAAATAAAGAATGGCTCTAATAAAAAATGTAAAAACTCTCCAAAAACCTTTCTAATATGAATATACTTCATGGGATGTGCTGGAGGGGTGGGATTGCTTCCCTGCTGGCATGCTCTGCACCTTGGCTGGGGGAGGAGGGTTATTGGGAGAATCAGCTCTTGATGCACAAGGGCTTGGGGGTTTTCCATGGGGTGAAGGACATACCTGTGCCAGCGGGGCAGGTCTCGCACCGCCGGGGCTCCCGGCTGAGGTACATGGCAGGCTGGCACTCTGGCACGCAGCTCTCCCCTGCCAGGCTGCCAGGAAAGCAGAAAGGAAGGTCACAATGGGAGCTGCAGGCTCTGAGGACTCGACCCAGCCCCATCTCAGCATCCCCAGTGCCCTAAAAGCCAGCCAGCACTTCAGGAGAAATTAAAGTCCTGCCTGGACCAAAGGGACATCTGCAGGTTCCTTAATTAAGTGTTCAGGAGGAAATATAATTATTTTTTCCCATGGGCAACCAGCCCAGCTCTCCTGAAGATTTTTTGCATCATGAGGCTCCCTGGAATAAAAGGAAATTGGTTCAGTGCCACAGCTGGGCCAGTGCTGCTTTACTGTGGCAGGGATGATTTGAAGTCCCAGCTTAAAAGGATATTGGACAATAAAAAGCAAGCGCCGTGTGGATTATGTCCGACAAGTGCCTCCACTTGCTTTTCCAAGGGAGTGGATAATCTTTTGGCAGTGGCAATTTCCTGGTCTGAGAGAGTCCTGCTGCTACACCCTGGCTCTGGCTCACAGCCCCTGAACGATGCAAACCACTATGCCGGTGGGGCACTTCTCGCGCCGCCGGGGCTCCCGGCTGAGGTACATGGCAGGCTGGCACTCTGGCACGCAGCTCTCCCCTGCCAGGCTGCCAGGAAAGCAGAAAGGAAGGTCACAATGGGAGCTGCAGGCTCTGAGGACTCGACCCAGCCCCATCTCAGCATCCCCAGTGCCCTAAAAGCCAGCCAGCACTTCAGGAGAAATTAAAGTCCTGCCTGGACCAAAGGGACATCTGCAGGTTCCTTAATTAAGTGTTCAGGAGGAAATATAATTATTTTTTTCCCATGGGCAACCAGCCCAGCTCTCCTGAAGATTTTTTGCATCATGAGGCTCCCTGGAATAAAAGGAAATTGGTTCAGTGCCACAGCTGGGCCAGTGCTGCTTTACTGTGGCAGGGATGATTTGAAGTCCCAGCTTAAAAGGATATTGGACAATAAAAAGCAAGCGCCGTGTGGATTATGTCCGACAAGTGCCTCCACTTGCTTTTCCAAGGGAGTGGATAATCTTTTGGCAGTGGCAATTTCCTGGTCTGAGAGAGTCCTGCTGCTACACCCTGGCTCTGGCTCACAGCCCCTGAACGATGCAAACCACTATGGGATTGTAGTTCCATGTGCACCAGGGATGGAAAACAGCTTCTCCCCGGTGCCAACGCTGCTCACCAGCACGGCTGGAATCTGCATCCTGCAGGAGCCACCAGGCCAGCAGCAAGGGCACCCAGCACTCCTTGCAGGGTCAGGGCTGCCCCACCTGCACCAGCACTGCTGGTAAACCACTATCCCATGCTATGTCCATCCAACAGTTATACTGGATAAAACTTTCCTGTGTGGACAGGAGGGGTTTCTGCACTTTTCAGCCTGCCTGGAGCAGCCCAGCCCAGCCCCAGCTCAGCCAGGTGAGCACAAACCAAGTGTTCCATTTGGTTGGGAAGGCTCTGATGGAGCTGCCTGAGACTCAGGAGGAAAGGTGCACTCTGCAACCTGCAGTGTTAACATTTTCATTTAATTTTTTTTGCCCCCATTTTAAATGCTAGGATGCCTGGAGCTGTTCTGGTTGCAGGTCACAAAGTTTGGACAAGCACTTCTGACCCTGCAGGAAAATTTACCCACCACCCTGCCACATACTGGAGAAAAAGTAATTAAATTTACATAATGCTTTTCAGCTAAGAAAGGGACACAAAGGATCACCTTGAAATTCCCAGCTCCACGCTACAGCTGTAGTGCCATGGAAGCAGGATCTTGGGTCTTTAACTGATTCACTAATTTCCCATTGGTTTTTCCAAATTTAAACCACAGGTACCGATGCTGCAAGTATCAAATCCTCCCATGCTGGTATTTTACCTGAATCCATCTTTGCATGCAGTACATTTGTCTGCTTCGCCAACACATTTTTTACAGCTTTGATGACATTTCAGACAACGTTTCTGACCTTTTAAAAACCAAAGTGAGACAAGGAGAATAAAATCTGGACAGTGATTTGCAAGTGGCAGTGGGAGTTGCAAAGCCCCACTGCACCCCAGCACCAGCTCCCCAGAGAGGAGAGGAGTGTCCCCCACCCTGACAGGCCTCTGCTATGGCAGATGACCTTATCTGTCATTGCTTGCTATGAAGAGATACGCTTTACAAGCAGCTAGGATCATTAATTACAGTCTTCTAATTAAGAGCTGAGTTGCGTGCCTCTGCTTTGCACCATGCACCCAGAGGTTTTCTTCCTCCCCTTGCTTTGCAAAGTGGGTGCAGGGGAGAAATTCAAAGCCAACATTCAAAAAAATCAAGGTGCTTTCTCCCCCCACAGCGCTTAAAACAGAAGCAACCCCTGCCTATCCCTCCTGCTACAGCTTGCAAGTGATCAACATCCTTACGTTCCTCGGCGTAGAACCCAGGTGGACAGAGCACCACGCAGGTGCTCATCTCCTGGTGGTGGTAGAGGCTCCTCTTGCAGGCCGTGCACTGGGCTGGCCCCCTCCCCACGCAGCGCTCGCAGCCCTTGTAGCACCGGCGGCACCTCCGGGCGCCTTGGTCACCGAAAAACCCCGCGGGGCAGGAGCTCACACACATCCTGGGGAGGGAACCAAGAATGCCCAGGCTTTGATGCCATCACCTGACCAACCTCTGGCAGCCTGGTACCCACCACCGTTCCCTCCCCACAGCATTTGGGGCATCCCTCAACCTTGATGCTGATATTATTGGATTGTTTGGGTTGGAAAAAGATATTCAAGATCATCCAGTCCAACCATTCACCCAATCTGGGCTCTTTTTCTTCTTATGCTTAAGATTGAGGGTATCTTGAACACCGTGGCTTTGTACTAAAGAGCTGGGGGTTCTCTCTTGGCCAACAATCCCAAATATGGGTAAACTTTCCATGTGCCAGCCTGAGACTAAGGAGTAGAAACCTCAATTCTAGAGGTGCTTTGGCACCTCAACAAGCTGTCCCTTGACATGGGTGACCCTACCTGGTGACACCAATGCTTCTTCCCCACCAGGACTTGCATGGCCAAGGCCCTCTAGGGCTCTCCATCTCTGTGTTTCCCAGCCCATAGTATCCTAGCACAGGGCAAGGATCCCCTCACCTCCTCCTCCCTCCATTTTCTCTCCCATAAGTTTCTTCCTCTGTAAAATCATCCACACAGAGGTGCAAGCCCTGAGGAAAGGTGCTGCCCCCACCCAGGGACCCCAAAGGTGCACCCCGTCACCCCGTACCTGCCAGTTTTCATGTTGCCCAGGCTGTAGTGGATGCAATTCAAGCACTGGTCGGCATTGGGGCCATCACAGCCCTGGTCACCACACTCAGGGTGGCACAGACCTGGGGAGAGAGAGAACAGCTCAGCAGTGGGAGAGGCTGGGTCCCCCAGATCCTCCTGCCAGGATGCTCTGAGCACAGATGGACATGGGGAAGGGGCTGAGGACCCTCCACCTTATACTATATCTATTATCTTACAGATCTTATGTATCTTATCCCATGGTGCTGGATGCCTCCGGGTACTCACCTCTCCTCCAACTCATCTTCCTCAGCACAAATCCCACCTGACTATCCATCCTGCTGCAGAAGCAGTTTTGAAAAAGGGGCTAGACCGGCTTCTCAGGGACCAGCAGGGGGGGGAGGGTGGGCAGAGGAGCTTTTTTTACTCCCCAGACAGCTGCACCACCAATTTGTGGCGGGGGGGGGGGGGCGGGGGGTGCTTGGGCGTCCTCCTTTT